GTTGAATGTTAACCTCTTTTGTTTCCATATAACTATAAACTATGATAAAAGTTCATCAGCATGCATTGAATAATCCCATGTTGTAGCAAAAAAAAACAAAACAATTGCGACCAAATCACGTGCTCATGCGACAAACTGAGAAAGTTAGTCCCAAAAGAGTGACCAGTGGGAAGAATGAGTCTGGAGCCCTGCATTCATGTTTTATAATTCTGTAGCTGTATTCTACAAACTAGCTGAGCTGCATTGCTGGCAACATCAACAAAACTGATAGCGTCTCTATCTGTTGGCCGCTCATGCGAACTGGACTGATAGACATGATGGGAGAGAATGCAGGTGTTTCAGTCTTTTGTTAATTTCATTCACTGTAGTCGAGTTTATAGTTTCATTCATAAGCGTTTTGGATCAGTAACCGAACAGATTATAGTCAGAGTAGATGGTATATTTGATTTGACCGTAAGACTGCAGACCGTTCAGTTTCAAATGCTCATTAATTATCTCTTCTGCTCACCAAGGCTGCATTTATTTGATCAAAAATACAGTAAAAATGTGAAATATTATTATCATTTAAAATATCTGTTTTCTATGTGAATATCTGTTAAACTGTAATTTATTTTTGTTATCAAAGAATGAATTTTCACCAGTCTTCAGTGTCACATGATCTTCAGAAATCATTCTAATATGCTGATTTGCTGCTCGAGAAACATTTCAGATTATTATCAATGTTGAAAACATTAATATTTTTGTGGAAACTGTGATGCATTTTATTTTTCAGGATTCACAGATGAATAGAAAGTTCAAAAGAATAGCATTTATTTGAAATAGAAATCTTTTGGAACATTAGAAATGTCTTTACTGTCACTTTTGATCAATTTAATGCATCCTTGATGAATAAAAATATTAATTTCTTTAAAAAAATCTTACGGACCCCAAGCTTTTGAACAGTAGTGTATTGCAAACAATAAATTACATGCACACCACATCTGCATATTACCTACTGTTCTTTTTTATTAATATATGAAACGGTAAGCATTTATCTACTGATAAACATTGCAAAAACTAGTATGTTGGATGTTAAGCGATCAACTCAGAAGTCCTGGTTTTCCTAGAAATGGCTCAGTCGTCTGCGTCTGCATAATTCTCTGATGTCGTTGAGAGATTCATTCATTATGAAGAGATCAGAGCCGGAAATGCACTGAGATGATGAAGCGACTGGAAACTCTTCCGATGTTTCTCTCACTGCGTATTATATCATCAGATGGCTGAGAAACGCAGAGATGCAATGCTTTAGCGACGTCGCCCAGCCCTAAACTCCAGCATTATCATTATCAGGCTTCCTATCTCTTTACTCAATTTTCTGTAATCATGGAGTGTTTTCCCAGTGGATTCTTAAAATATGAAGGATTGTTTCTCAGTTGTAGATGTTTTAGCCCTTTTGCTGGAGTCTCTGTCATTTATTTTGCAGTAACGCTCCTGACAGCCGCGCTCTGTAACGCCGTCGGCAAACTCTGCGATGACAAACCGCACACGTTCAGTGCTGCATTACATTACAGCTCAGTGTGTTCATTTAAATCATGCAACTCTGTTTGTTTCAGACTGTAAAGAGATTTACACATCACAGCCCAGTTATTTATTTATTCATTTATTTCTAAAAAGGAAGCATGTGGTGTGAAAATGATCTGAAGTGGCCGAAGTGAAGTTTAATTAATTTTATTTGTATTTATTTTTCTAATTTTATACTTATTTTTCTTTTTTGTATTTTTCTTATATATTTTTGCATTTTTTTATTCATTCTTATTTGTGTT